TCATTATTAAAGGCTATGTGTATCTTTATCACGATAATGTCTTTGTAGTACATAATTCATTATTAAAGGCTATGTGTATCTTGATCACGATAATGCCTTTGTAGTGCATAATTCATTATTAAAGGCTATGTGTATCTTGATCACGATAATGTCTTTGTAGTACGTAATTCATTATTAAATGCTATATGTATCTTGATCACGATAATGTCTTTGTAGTACATAATTCATTATTAAAGGCTATGTGTATCTTGATCACGATAATGCCTTTGTAGTGCATAATTCATTATTAAAGGCTATGTGTATCTTATCACGATAATGTCTTTGTAGTACATAATTCATTATTAAAGGCTATGTGTATCTTTAGCACTATAATGTCTTTGTAGTGCATAATTCATTATTAAAGTAGTTTTTGTCTTTGTAGTTTTGCGCAGTTATTGAATGATGAAGAGTTGTATAATTTGTTCACTTTAGAAAATCATTTCTCGCTCTAAGTGTCAGGCTAAACATAAGGGGTCTAAAAACCTGTTTGCTTGTCTTATAAAATGTTCATATCACTATACAGAAGTTGGGCGGGGTCAAGGGGAGGGGGGAGTTTTCCTTTCGAAATTTTAAAATCTTACTTCCGATGTTTTGGGACAAAAGAACAACAGAGAAAACTACGTAGATCCAGGTCGAGAGCTCCAGCTGGTGCTTGTTCCCACAAAATAGAAAAGGAAAGACAAAGCCAAGACTAAGAGAGTTAAAGTAATGAACTCTACTATATATTCAATAGTCAGGTTAGTGTATTCCCTTCACAGAGGTCAGCGATCATTTTCCTCCACGGTTTCCTTTCCCTTGCTGCACTCTGGTACTATTCCAGCCCATCTGAGTCCATTCTTTGCCCATCTACTATTTGCTACAGTCTATCTTACTAGTTCACCTTATCCCATCTTTCTGTAAGTTTGATATCTTAAAATGTCTCCATAGCACCTTACAACAAAAAAAGTCTTTTTAAAAATTTAGTGTATTAAGATGTCTCCATAATACCTTACCATAGAAGATACATTTTTTTTAGGTTTTCGTGAACTGAGATGTCTCCATAACACCCTACCGCAAAATATGTCTCTCTGTAGATTTGCATGCCTTAACATATGTCTATGATATCTTATTTTTCTCTTTTTGATCGTTTCAATAACTTCTCTTTGCATCCTTGCATCACTGCAGCATTTCTTAGTTTCCATTTCAGCTGATTCACATATTCACACCATTCTCTTCATGCACCATATTCACACTATTTTCCTCATATACTATATTCACACTATTCTTCTCATGCACCATATTCACACTATTTTCCTCATATACTATATTCACACTATTCTTCTCATGCACCATATTCACACTATTTTCCTCATATACTATATTCACACTATTCTTCTCATGCAACATATTCATACTATTCTCCTCATGCACCATATTTCAAAGGCCTCCAATCTTTTCTTTGGTATATTATCTATCTTTTGAGTCTCTGATCCTTGTAAGCGGATGGATAAGACGTAACACTTCATAATTCTCTGGCATATAATACCATAAAAACAAGGGGCTGTTTCTTGGAATAGCAAAAAGAGAAAGGAATGGAACACCTAATCGATAAGCAAGTATTTTAACGTACTTCAAGCGTGGCGCGGTATAATTTCAGTGCATTTTTCAAAAGGTAATCTTCACTGACAAACAGTAAAACTTTTCACCGGGGGGGGGGGGTGAGAGGATAATCGTTCTTTATGATGCTCATATCAATTTCTGGAAACAACGCCACATACAAAAGTCATCCTAAATAAACAACACCAAAATTCCTATGTCTAAGCTGCCTCACTGTATATAGTTCTTTGTCTCACTTTGTTTGTCGTTTTGTCTAATTTTAACAGCTTCCAATATTCTTGTTGATAATGCTAAAACTTCTATACTAAATGGAATGAAAATAACATATTTATAGCACGAATTTCTATACTGAATGGAATGAAAATAACACATTTATAGCATTAATTTCTATACTGAATGGAATGAAAATAACATATTTATAGCACTAATTTCTATACTGAATGGAATGAAAATAACATATTTATAGCACTAATTTCTATACTGAATGGAATGAAAATAACATATTCATAGCACTAATTTCTATACTGCGTTACATCAAAATAACAATAAACGTGATTTTACTTCCAGTAAATCACCACTCATCTGATTACAATCAACATACTTTTTAAGCCAATGATGATGAGGATTGGGGTAACCATAGGTCAATTTTCAACAGAAATCCGGTTATCTACAGTACATTTATTCATTGAGCTTCGTTGTATTAGCTCGAAAAAAAATACAGGTACTATGTAACAAATCCATTTGTACAGAGTTGCTTAAAGGCAATCAGACTGTTTTTAATAATTTAAAATGTCTATTAACAAGACCACTCAAGGACCAAAATTTGTTCTTGTCCGGCGTATTAAAGATAAGAATAAACTACAAGTAGCCTCTTTAGTAGTTTTATGTTTAAAATTCGGAGTTCTATTCCCGCGATGAACACAAGTACAAGTAGCCTCTTTAGTAGTTTTTATGTTTAAAATTCGGAGTTCTATTCTCGCGATGAACACAAGTACAAGTAGCCTATTGTGTATTTTATGTTTAACAACAAACAAGTACCTCCACTTAAAAAAATTGAAAATAGTTGTTCTCGTGTTTATTATAAACTTATCAAATAAATTAGATTCTTACACAAGTTTGAACTAAAACTAAAGTTTACTAGGTGGCTGTTTTCTAAACAGTTTATTTAGTATCGATTAATAATAAATAATAATACGAAAAGCACGAAGCAGTTACCTGATATCAATTTTACAGGATTCAGGAAAAAAAAACCCTTGTGTTCATCGCGGGAATAGAACTCTGAATTTTAAACATAAAACTACTCAATAGGCTACTTGTACTTGTGTTCATCGCGGGAATAGAACTCTGAATTTTAAATATAAAACTACACAATAGGCTACTTATACTTGTATTCATCGCGGGAATAGAACTCTGAATGTTAACGGTGTAAACCCTCAGGTTTACCTCTAAGACAATGAAAACTGAACAATTTACAAAATGCTTTAATAAAGAGCAGATATTATGTCTTTTTAATATTTAAAGATATTTTAGCTTTGATGAAGCTTTAGAAATAGGCATCTCTAAACGTTTGTACCAATGTTTAATAAAATATATTTAGATGTCTAAGCCTTTAAACTAGAACTACGATATAAATTAAGGTAATGAATTCCAATGAAATCACTCTTATGTGCATTTTCTTGATTCTTTCTTGACATGAATATTTTTTTTTCTACTTCTGTTGGGTCAAAAATACCTCACGATTTCTAGTTATAATTAGTTCATTTTCCTAACTACAGTTGTTCATAACTGTATAAAATTGAGTCTGAGCCAGAACTGCTATAATCTATAAAAGTCACACCATCATTTGGTACGGGTCGAGAACACGGAGTTGGCGAAGTTATTGTGCTCGGGTTCCACACCGGAACAGAACCTGACGCGGACGGAGGGTTGTAGTAATAGCCGGAGCCTAGTGGTAGGACACTGGACGAAACGGGAGGAAAATCTGTAGCTGGTCCTGACGTATGCTCTTGTCCGTGCTCAAGAAAAACAGCAGATGTTTCTTCCGAAGGATTTGATAGATGGTACAAAGATCCACTTTCAACATTATCTCCCCGATCCCTAGAGTCCAACATCTTTAAGCTTTCCGTAAGAGCCCAGATATAGTTATGCGCAAACCGTAAAGTTTCAATTTTTGTCAGTTTGGTATCATCGGGAAACGTCGGCAGTACTCGGCGAAGGCGATCCAAAGCATGATTCAAATTGTGCATTCGGTTTCTTTCTCTGTCATTGGCCTTTAATCGTCTTGTTTTCTTAATCTTTACAACGCAGCTCGGACTTCGTCCTCGAGCTCTAGATTTTGTGCATCGTTTTCTATTTCCCTTGAGTTTGAAGTTCGAATTATGGGGACATTTTTCGATTGTTGTGTCATCTTTTTCTTGTTTAAACTCACTCTCAGTACTTCTTTGATCTACTGAATCACAAGTTTGAATTGTAGGCTTTACTTCGTGTTTGTTAGGAAGGTTGAACTCGTCTTCAAGTCCTTCACTATCCGAGTCCTGCTCTTCGTCCCACTCAGAGCAGGTTGTGCTGCGCGGAGAATAGGCCTCTGTGGTCTGTGAACTCTCAGAGAGCGCCGGCATGTAGAGACGAGGGGAAGCCAAGTATGCGCCGGTTCCTGCGGGGACGTGACTTCTAATGGCTGGAGGCTGAACGTAAGAAACACCAAGTGGTTCTTGAAGCGACTCCGCGGTCATGATTTACTGAAGCATCCACCTAAAAAATAAAAATAAATACTAAATACGTGTTTAAAATAACATTGCAAGTATTCTAGACTCATGCTTCTATAGCCAGGATGAAAAGTTAAGCTATTTATATTAAATCATAGATGGCACAGTTACACGGCGAATCTGAATTCTAAATCAATATTTTCTTATTTTATATCACCAGGATATTTAACGATAAACGACTATCCAAATCATTTCTTGTTGTATATATATATAAACACATAAAGAGAAATTCTCAAGCTTAAAGTCATGTATGTAATTTGGAGTGATCTTTGGTTATCTTAGACTTTTCCTATTTGAGAAATTTAACACGATCTTGTTAGACAACACTAGTTTTAAAGTGCGTAAACACAAAGCTACACAATGGGCTATCTGTGCTGGGTCTACCACTGGTATCGAACCCCAAATTTGGGTGTTATAAGTCCGTAAATCTACTGCTGTCCCGCAGGGAGGACATGAAATAGTTACTACTTTTCTGAGCTTTTACTAAAGAAGTTTCGATACTGGAAGTGCAAAAATTCTTTTAAGAAGAAATAGAAATAACGTATAATAATTTAAAAACACACACATAACGTAAATTGCATCTCTTATATATGTTCATGAGCCTATAAAATCAAAATAAATTCTGAAACTCTACTTATCGTACTGTGAGACTAAAAATTCGTTATTTGCTGTCATGACATCCGAAAAAAAAAAGTTTATCTCACTTGAGTAGGTCGTGTTATTACTGGAATATTTTATTAATTATACGCGGCTTTAATTTTTTCGTTATAAGTATTAAAAATTAATAATCAAATATATTTACGACAAAAAGTTTATGCTGTTAGTATTTTGTTTTCCATAAACATTCTGAAACTTTACAGCTTCTACGTGAGTCGTACTGTTTAATTTGCATTGCCTTGATATAAAACAAGCCTAAACAACTTCGTATACGAAAAGATAGATTAGAAATCTCATCAAAAATTTACTAATTACAGTATAACGTTTGCATTTAATAATGATTAGAAATATTTGGGCCTGATACTTTTTGTTTAACTCAAGAACCTTCCCGCAAATTGTCATCTTATAATATTTTATGAAAGTACTGCCAGATAAGCGGACAGTTCTTATGAATGTATTCGACCTTGAACTATATACTGTATATATATATATATATATTAAACGGAACAAATGCCATGAAATGAAAATCGTTACGTTTGGTTTCATCCTCTTTCGGTTACGTCAGTTTTCTTGGTTGTTTCTTTAAGATTTTCGGGCACATTTACTCAAGGGCTACCTGCGCTAGCGCCCCTTGTTTTGAGCTGATAGACAAGAGTAAAGGCAGCTAGTCAACAGCGCCCACCAACAGCTCTTGCATCACCGAATAGTGAGATTTGACCGTCAGTTTTTTTGTGGTGCATGTAAAGGTAAAGTGCGAAGTAAATCTATGTTCTAAAGAACGAATAAAAGCGAGAGACAGGTAATACTAATGAATGGAAGGTAAGAAAATTATCATTGATATCCATACACTTTTGGAAGGAAAGATTCAACCTACTCAGTATTTAAAGTAGCACAGCCAAATGACACGGTCGAACAGAACAAGCATTGATTGTCTGAATTTCACGCAAAGCTTCTTAATGGCTATCTGTACTAGCCGCCCCTAATTTTGAAGTGCTAGAATAGAGGGAAGTAAGCTAGTCAACAGCACCCACAGGCAACTCTTTTACAAACGGAAAGTGAAATTGACTGTCCCATTTTAACGCTCCACGGCTGAAAGTGCGAGAGTATTCAGTAACGGGGTTAGAACTCGCGACTCGCAAATTGCGAATCAGCCACCAGACCTTGTCAAACCTCAGAAGAAGTATAAGTCGGCTTAGATCACTAAGTCAGTTTCTTGAAAAATCACGTGGCCCAGGTGATTTTAACGGTTCACGTCCACTAGCCACCGAATCTTCATTCTGACTTTTACCCACAAGAGTTTATCAATACCTAAAACCTCTCTTCGTGCTTCCCCACCACACCTTATACATTATTTATCGACATAGACGCCTCGAGGTAGGGACACACAGCCACTCAGGGGACCAAAGAAAGCAACCATACGACTGTCTGAGGTGATCTGAAGTTATGGTCGTCTTATGAAGTGTAATACACGATATTATAATACACTCAACAATTTACGTATTTCTAAAAAAAAAAAAAAATTAACATACTATGAAGATTTTATTGTAAGTCACAACGTAATAAGATATTCTCAAAAAACTACTAATGTGAATACAAGCAAATAATTTTTTATATTTAATTCTACATTCATTAAACTTAATTCTACCTTTATCAAACTTAATTCTACGTTCATCAAACTTAATTCTACTTTCATCAAACTTAATTCTACATTCATCAAACTTAATTCTACTTTCATCAGACTTAATTCTACATTCATCAAACTTAATTCTACATTCATCAAACTGAACTTGAAAAATAACATGATATATATATCCTTTCTCTCTCAACGCTCCCCAGTGGCTCAGCTAAGTATCTGAACTTATGACGTTAAGAATTTGGTGGACACAGTACATGTAGCACAAAGCTACACAACAAACAAACTTTCTTAGTATATATATATATATATATATATATATATATACGCATTAATATGGATGCTGATATTTGGACTTTGAAAGCAATGAGCCTTGCGCATTTACTTGGCTATTTTCAAGAAAAAAATATTAAAGTCGAGTTTAGATAGTGAAATATCTTCCTACAGTCATCTTGCTCACAAATTTGAAATATAATGTTCATTACAGAAGAATCTTTTCTTAGTTTACAGCTTGCTCTCTCTATTCATAGTTTCCTGTGTTTGATATGACAATAATTATATTCTTACCATCATGTCAGAGCAACTGTTAATTACTTACTAAAGAAGAAATGAGGATGAAACTATAAGACACTTGATTAAAAAATAACGTACAGCCATCATCTATAGAATACCTTAAAACTACTGAAACCTAGAGGACAAAGATATTAGACACTTGATTAACTAATAACGTATAACCATCATCTATAGAATATCTTAAAACTACTGAAACCTAGGGGACAAAGATATTAGACACTTGATTAACAAATAACGTATAACCATCATCTATAGAATATCTTAAAACTACTGAGACGTAGAGGATGAAACTATAAGACACTTGATTAAAAAATAACGTACAGCCATCATCTATAGAATATCTTAAAACTACTGAAACCTAGGGGACAAAGATATTAGACACTTGATTAAAAATAACGTATATCTATCATCTATAGAATACCTTAAAACTACTGAAACCTAGGGGACGAAGATATCAGACATTCTTAAAAACTACTGAGGATGACACTATAAGACACTTGATTACTAAACAACGTACATGCACTACCTATAAGATATCATAAAAACTACTGAGGATGACACTATAAGACACTTGATTACTAAACAACGTACATGCACTACCTATAAGATATCATAAAAACTACTGAACATAGCGGACGAAACTATCTCACACTTGATCACCCCAAAACGACAGCCGATATTTTTGTCATCAGCTACCTAGTTAAAACGTAATCCTTTAAGTAATACACCATGGTAATCTTTATCAAAGATATCTGTGTGAAAATATCGTAATTATGTTGATACTTAATATCCGATTGTCTGTACAAAACTACAATCCCTAACAATGTAGTTCATTATAACATTCAATTCTTTAATAATGCACTCATAACTTCAGATATTTTGTTAATTATTTAAAGACTATTTTATCAACTAATTCTATATGGTCCGTCATAGGCATGTCTTCTTAATAACGTGGTCGTATTATAGAGCTACATGATAGCGAAAATTTCCACAAATACAATTTATTTAGGTTATAAATACTTTAATTTTCAAACATTTTTATATTTAAGCACATACAGTTATACAGGAACGTTTGAAATTAAGATAAAAAAAAGACAAAAACACCCTCAAATTTAGAGCTAATCTCAGAAAACTATAGCAATAATAGTAAATGCAGAAAGATCAAGTCCACCGCCAACAACCGTACAAAATAACTCAGAAATTCGAAATACAAAGTAGCATCATGTCTTATGTTTCCAAAGAAAACCAAAAGCTGTGTGTATCTTGTAATATCCAATTTCTACTGGTTACTACCTAGTTTAACACGTTTACGCATCTTGTTTATTTATTTTTTAATATAAAAACCGAAAGTTAAACCGACTTTACTTACCGAATCTTCGTTGTCCCACTTATCCCGAAGTTGTTGCTTGTAGACTTTGTTATTAAAATACGGCCTGTTTCAAAGGATTTCTACAGCTTCCTATTTAAAATTGAGAGACCACAAGTACAAGTCTGAGACGGTGTAGATAGGCCAATGCGCGACCGATAACTTACGACGGGCTCGCAACACCAAGTGAAAAGAACGCGTGAGTTTTTGACCGTGATCCCGCGTTTTCAAACTTATATAGCGTTGCCAGAG